CTGCAACTTTAATTCTTAGCATATAGATATGAGTACATTGTTCTATTCCCCTTTCATTATATATATTAACATATGTACATGCCTGTATTTAGACCTCTATAAATTCTCTTTGCCTCCTGGTTCTTTCCTCTATCACCTTTTTTACTTCAGTTTAAGACATGCTTTCTTAAAGAATATCAAATATACCTTTTTTGGTTATGATTTGTTTGTTTGTTTTTAGGAGAAACATTAACATTGGGAGGTGGAGCACCAATGATGTTCGATCTAGTTGCTGACTATCAACTGGTTTCCATTTCAGTGGAAGTTCTGAATTCACAGAAACTTAAAAACATGCTGTTTCCATAGCAGCAGATAACGAGTAAAACTCAGGAGGTTTTATTGACTTTCACAGGATTTAGACAATGTGGTCTTTTCAGCAAGATTTCTGCTCCTTTTTTAGCCTTTGTGAGATTTTCATTTTCTCTTTTCTAAATGCCTTTAGCAAATCATATGCATTTAGAGCTCATGTCATTTTAACATTACTGTCCAATTACACATTTGTACAGTAATATAAGGAACCCTGGTGGTGTCATGCATTACCCATGGGGCTGCTAACTGGCTCTATGAGACAAAGATGAGGCTATCCATTCCTCTAGTGATTTACCGTCTTAAAACCCCACAAACAGGACAGTTGTGCTCTCTCCTATAGGGTAACTATGCATCAGAATTCACTTTGATGGCAGTGAATTTATGGTAATATAGAATCACCAATATTTAAATTTTTAATGTTAAAAAATGTGCTGAACAACAGAGGCAAGACCAAATTTTACATGCAATGCCAGCTTAACATATGATGAAAATAAAGCACTGTTTTACATATGTTTTTAGATCGGTTACATTGATTACGTTAGTTCATTATTTAAATTCACTTAAGTAATTTCCGTTAATGATTAAAAGTACAGTATATCATTGGCTGACACTGTTGATTTATTATGACACTGACTGGGAATCAGGCTTTTAAACATAAGCAGTAGAGCTGCGACATGCCGGGTCTGCCCCGGACGCTGTGGCAGCCTGAGTGTGGATGAGCATGCAGATGAGTGGAGTGATTAGCATGCTCAGCGGCCTGGGAATACACTGTCATTTCTTGTGCATATGTTAGTTCAGTTGTACATTTTTTTGCAAAGCATTCTGTTCTCTTAACATTTCTATATATCAAAACAAGGACAAATGGCTCACCTGTAACAGACATACAACCTAAGGGAGCAATGAGTGTGATGGGGGCAAATCCATAGGCAGCAAAGTTTCCAGTCTCTCCCACGACCATGAGGAGGACCCCACCCCACCAGGACACGCTCTTCAAGAGTGGTCTCGGGTACTCTTGGTGTGCCAACTGAAGATGAGAATATTTCTGGAAGTAGATCAGAATGCAAATAAGACAACATTTCAACACAATGACACATGTCTTGAAATCTTCATCATGGCTATTCGGAAATTTGCATTGTGTCTTTTAAATTTATTTGCATATTATTATAATGAACAATGATTATGGTTTCATATTTGTACCAAACGTCAGAACAGCAGGAACAACTCATTAAGGTCTTAGAGTTTAAAATGCTTGTTCACATTAACATGCTGCTTCGTTCTCATAACAACACTGTAAAATAGAGGGGGTACCCAGAAATGTCCGGAAAAAGGAGCAGAGGTTCCACAGTACACATTTCCCCCTGATAGACGAGTCTCAAGCACCTCACTCTGAGTTAGTGCATCCAGTGGCATCACCTGTGAAGTTTCTCTCTGGTCACAGTGAATTTTTTCATAAAAGCAGTTTTGCTCAAACCTCGTATTTTGTAATGGCTGATTTAAGAGAAAAACATGTGGCTGTGAAATTTTGTTTCCTGTTCAGTAAAAATGCTGCAGAAACTCTTGCAATGTTGAACACAGGTTACAAGGACAGCGCTATGGGAAAAACTCAAATGTATGAGTGGTTTTCTTATTTTAAAAAAGGTGAAATGTTGATTGATGACAAATCTCATTCTGGATGTCTGTCAACTTCCCGAAAAGACAAAAATGTCAACAAAATTTGTGCTCGAAGACTGACGATGGACCATTGAAGAGATGGTGAAGTTATCTGGATTATCTTAGAGCTAGGTTTAGCGAGTTTTAACGCAAGATTTGGGAAGGAGAAGGGCTGCGGAGAAATTTGTGCCTCAGGTTCTGAGTGAGCAGGAAAAGAGAATCGGGAGGAAACACGCTGTGCCTGGAAAGAACAGCTCCGGAGCGCCCCGGCCTTCCCCCCAAGGGCATGCATTACTGGTGATGAGACATGGTGCTATTCTGAAAGCAAACATCATCACCCTACTCCCCAAAAGCTTGTGAAGTGAAAGAAAGAGCAAGACGAGGCTCACATGTTTTTCCTTTATGTGAAGGGGATAGAGCCTTTGTAGTTCTTTCCATCAGGTCAGGCTGCTAACCAAGCTTCAGATGTAAGGTTTAGAAAAGCTTGCGTAACGGTGTGTGACAAAAAAGACCTGATTTGTGGCAGACAAGGGACTGGTTTTGCCACCACGACAATGCATCTGCTCACACAGCCATCTCAGTGCACTAGTTTTTGGCAAAAACAGCATGCCTCTCTTGCCACATGCACCTGAGCTCATTCCGCGTGACTTCTTTTTGTTTCCAAGAAAGAAGAGGGACATGAAAGGACAGCGATTTGGTGATGCAGACGAGATGAAGAAAAAAGTGAGGGAGGTGCTGTCAGCCATCTAAACAGATGAGTGGAAACTTATTTCTAAGAATGAAATAGCAGATTTGACAAACGTATTATGTGTGATGGAGAGTGTTTTCAAGGCGCTACGGTTGTTTTGTAAAAAAAAAAAAAAGACATAGCTTTGGAAAAAATTCCTTTTTTCTCTGGTACTTCCTCTTCAGTATCAGTGCAAGGATTATTTAAAGATGAGGTATATGTTAGAGGTATAAGTGACTTTTTAGGCCACCCCATCCAAACACTTCCCATAGAATGTAAAAAAATTCAGATAACAAAATAAACATTAATGAAACAGAGGTAATACAATTATAAATAGAAATGCTTCATAAAAGGAATTGAAGCTTATGGGTCAAAAAATTGAACACACCAGACTATTAAAAGATACGGGGTCTTAAAGACTTGAAGTTAAACAAGCATCCATCTAGCAGAGAAGCGACAAGCCCTCATGGAAGGCATACACCAGCCTGTGCGATCATGAGGTGCCATTGGGACTGGTTAACGGGCATCAAAAGACCCAGCACAAACAAACAAACAAACAGAAATTTCATTGAGAACTAGGGGGGTCGGAGCAGAGACCCAAAGCACATCTGTAGACAATGGGAAATCCCCTCACAGTGGGGTCACAGGGAAGGGATGAGTCAACCAGGGCGCAGTAAAGCACCAATGAAATACACAATATCTCTCTGGTTCCTTGAGGCTTCCTCACCCCTCACTATCATGGCCCCAGTACTGCCCTTCACTTCAGACAGACTGGAGCATGCATACAGGGTCAGATATGAGGTAAGAGATCAAGACACCTGGAATCCAGGAACAGGTATGGGAACAGCGATGCCAGAAGGGGAAGGGGAAGGTGGGGAGAAAGGGGGAACCGATCACAATGATCGACACATAACCACACACCCTCTCCAGGGGGTCGAATAGCAGAAACCATGGGGAAAGGGTGACAGCGGTTGGTGTAAGATATGAAACTAATAACAATTTACAATTTATCAAGGGGTCATGGGGGGCAGGGAGGGTAAAAAGAGGAGCTGATACCAAGGGCTCAATAGAAAGTAAATATCTAGAAGAGAATGATGATAACATATGGGCAAATATGCTTGATATAATTGATGTATGGATTGTTATAAGAGTTGTAAGAGCCCCCAATAAAATGTTTTTAAAAAAAGGAGTTGAAAGACCCCCCCCCAAATAAAATTATCTTTAAAAATAAAAAAAAACTACTGGGTAATAGCAGAAATAAAAAATAATTGAAAAATTTTAAAAATCTAGTACAATTGAGATGGGCAGATCAGAATACTTTGGCTGTGGTATGCTAAAGAGGACCCTTACTTATATCTGATTTGAATATTTCTTTCCATGTTAAAAATAAATTCTAAAGACTGACCATTAAATAATGTGCCAGACTGGGGTTTACTTGTCTTTATATCAATGTAGTCATATATATATGTATGTGCGTATGTATGTATGTATATAAGCATATGAGTACATACAAGGGGCTTCAAAAATTCAGGGGAAAAATAAAAGACAACAGAAGCTTTCCATAACTTTTTGAAGATACACACATACATATATTTGAGTATAAATTTAATCCCTCATACGTGTGTGTTTATTTGTGTATGATATTTGTATATACATATACATACACAATGCAAGGGACTACAAAGACAAAAGTTCTTAGGACCCTAGAAAGTTAAAATGCAGCCCTGAATCAGATGACAGAGTTATGGGAAAAGGCTTTTTCTTACCTGAATATTTAGAGAAATGCTGATTACCAAATTTCCTAAAATGGCCAACAAAACTCCAAAAAGGTGAATCTGAAAAAAAGGATAAATAATTCTTATAAGATATCCTGGGGAGACAAAAAGACAAATTAAATTAATGCATTCACTCATCTATTCAACATTCATTCAACAAACATTTACTTAGCATCTATTTGCCAGGTTGATCTGGAAAATGAATATGGTTGGAAAAGGAATAATTAGTCAAATAAGACTTTTTAGAAATAGCTTATAGTCTTTAACTGGGTTCTCAAGATACCTGCCTCATTCCTTAGAATACAGAAGAGTCACCAGGCATTGCTCTGCGCCCCACCGGCCCCTTCCCCCAGCCTCTGTAGTAGGGTGCTTCTGGAGGACTGTAGGCGGTGCTGTGGGCTTGGAGTTGGGAAGCTAACCGGAAGGTCAGTGGTTCAAACCTATCCGCTGCTTCAGGGAGAAAGTGGAAGCTGGCTGTTCCCATAAAGATCCACGGCCTCAGAAACCATATGCAGGGTCTCTGTGTTTCAGAATGGACGTGATGGCCGTGGGTCTGGGTTTGGGGAGTACGCTGCTCACGTATGCTTGCTGTCCCTTTTCCCCAGCAACCACTCTGGGTTGGAAATACTTGCTTGGAAAAGTATATCATGGATTAAATTCATACTCAAAGGATGGAATAGATACCATCCTTTATTCTCTCCTATCTGGTTTCTTTTCCCTTAAGCTATCCTGGAAGACTGTGATACAAAGGCAAGAACAGCGGCCTTGCAGTTCAGGAAGAATCTAAGAAACAGATCTGCTAGTGTCTAACTGGCTACCCTTGGCACCCTGAGCCTCAGTGAAAAGGAGACGTTGAATACGAAGTTTCCAGAAATCCCTTTGACTTGTAAAGTTCTATAATTTTCTCTCAGGCCCCCAGTCATGAACCTACACTGTCTCCCTAGGGTCTACACTAGCATCCCAGAATCTGTCCTCTCTCTGGCCACCCAATCTCCCAGGGCCCATAGAATGTATAGCCTTTACCTCAAGTACCTGACACGTGCCATCCTCTGTCAGAGAGTACACTTTGAACCTTGCGGGCCCTCTCCCCAGCCCATCCCAATCATTCCTCGTCCTCCGGGCGTGGAATCTCCTTCTGGAGAGTCACCCCATGACAGCTTCTCAGACTCCCTCAGCCCACCTTTACTTTCTCATCCTCCAAAAAGTGACCGTCGCTTCTCTTAGACGGCCATAGGGACACTCTAAACCCAAACTCAGCGCCGCCGAGGCGATTCTGACTCATGATGATTCCACAGGACAGAATGGAACAGCTTCCATGGGTTTCCAAGGTCATCACAGTTAAGTGCTGGGTTGCTAACCAAAAGGGTGGCCACAGGACCCCAACCAGTGGAGCTCTGAGGGAGGACGGTGGAGGGTTGGTTTTGTAAAGACGGACAGCCTTGAAAACTCTATGGGGCTGTTCTTCTCTGTCCTCTGGGGTCCCTGAGCTGAGCCCACAAACACAGTCTGCCACCTCGTTCTCTCTGGAGGGTTCGTGGCCCCACCAGCCTTTCGGTCAGCAGCCAAGCACTTGAACACTGCAGCACCAGAATTTCTTGGTAAGCCATCAGGGTCTACAAATAGAAAGCAAATTCTCTGAGGGAGACAAACTGCATCTGACACTGAGAGTGGGTCTTCTACACCACGTACTCTCCATCACGAGGGGCTTCATAAACCTTACTTGGAAAAGTACAGAATGGTTTACATTTAAAACCAGAGCAACACTGAACAGTCAGTCCTCACACATCTCCCAAGATGTTAGTCATACAAAGCACGTGCCTTATGTGAGGACTTCCGGAGCAGTTGTCGCTGCTCCCAGGTAGGCTGTTGCTGGGAGGGACCACGGCGTCATTTCTGACTCACAGCAACCCTGTGTGCGACCGAAGGACACCCTGTCCTGTCCTGCGCCATCCTCACAATGGTACTTAGGTTTGAGACCATGTCAATCCATCTCGCCAGGGACTGGTCTCCCCTGATAACATGTCCAACGTACGTGAGAGGAAGATTCGCCATCCGCGCTTCAAAGGGGCAGTCTGATTATACATCTTCCAAGACGGATTAAAACCGTGCAGGCACAAAGATGTAATCTGGTCCGTTAGTCTACATGCACCACGATCTATGGAATCGTCTCCCCCTTCCTCTAGACAAGACATCATTTCTCGCAAGCTTCAAATTCCATGGGGCTATTTGAATTTCAAATGTGCATGGCAGCCACAAGGAACCCTTCGCAGAATGTAAAACGGCTTTGAAGTTCTGGGGGTTTACAATGTATATGCTGAAATGAAATCCAGTATTATTAAAATAAAAACAAGAAAACAAAACATGAAGCTGAGTAGTGGAAACCCCATTTTATAGCTGATATATAATATCCATGTCCTTTAATCAGTGAAGAATTTTCTTTCCCTCACGAAGTCACTTGGCCATCCTGGGGAACTATTTGATCACTGTTCCCCCTGGGAACAAATGGAGCCCAAAATTGTGTGCTATTTCCACGCTGCCTCTCTGCAACCGAATGCATTTGGCAGCAATGAGGAAAAGAGAGATTCCCAAGAAGCTTGGCATAGAGTGGATAATTATGAAAAAACTTACTTAATTATTTAAGTAAAATTGTTGGACAGACATAACTTGCTTCAAAATTCCTTAGGTCATTTACTCTGCAATTTAAATGGCACCAAGCTGGGCGTTTGCACATGGGTGCGAGGCCTGGATTGTAACCGGGTTTGAAGAACATCAGCTCCTTGACTAGACTAGCTCCCTGCCACAGCAGCCCTGGTGGCACTTCGGGTTACCAGTTGAGCTGCTAACTGCAAAGCCCGCAGTTGGAAACCAGCAGCTGCTTTATAGGAAAAAGAGGAGGCTTTCTACTCCTGTGAATTTACTATCTTGGAAACGCACAGAGGAGGTTTTCACTTCTCTGGTAGGGTCAGTGTGAGTCAGAATCAATTCTATGGTAGTGATTGAGAGCTCCCTGTCTTTGGGGTTGAGAGTGTTTTACCGTCGTTCTGCTAAATGAATATTATCTATCGTCTGTGTGTATTTTTCCCGAAAGCAGGTACTCCTGCAAAGGTTTAAACGATTATCTCATTAATATCTGAATAGAAATCCATTCAAAGGAAGCTGGGTACAGCAGACTACAGTCATCAGCATAATCCCTCCACCCCGTATTTATACTCTGCCAGGTAACTCCCATCAAGAGGTAGGGTTTAGGTCCTGGATGGCCGGTACCATGGAGTCCCAACAGAACCAGTGTCCAGAGGTAAAGTTTGCAGTTCCTGCTGCTGGAATGGTTATACCTTGGGCTGCTGACTGAACAGTCAGCAGTTTGAAACCAACAGTTGCTCTGAGGGAGAAAGATGAGGCTTTCTATTCAAGTAGAGTTACCATCTTGGAAACACACAGAAGCAGTTCTTTAGGGTCATTATGAGTAAAAATTAATGGAAGGGCACTTTGGACGTTTGGACAACCAATGAGAACCCTCCCTGTTGATTCCATACCCACCTCATTCATAAAAACCACCGGGGCCTGAGGTGTGTCCTCCACGGCCTAGGAGAGAACCTGACCCACTTTCTTCGGTGTACTGCTTCTAGGGATACCCATAGTATGGTTGGCAGGATAGGCCTCAGGAGCCTCCTAAAGACACGTGCATGTGGTGGGAGACCAAAGCAGGGACGGCCTGGGCTCATCCACCTGCTTCACACCTGGGGCACTGCTCTTAGTTGCTGCTCTTTCTGGGAGGTGCTCACCTGAGCAGCCCAGCCCTCCCGTCCTGCCAGCGTGGTCGCTGCCTCAGACGGGTGTGTCTGCCTTCACCTCTTCTTGCCCTAGTCCCTTCTGAACCAAACGCTTAGCTCTGCCCAGACACCTCTCCCTTCACCCAAGTGGGGGATGCCGCTGCTTGATCCAGTGACTTGATCTTTTTATGGTTCTGATCTGCTTTCTATTGGTCTTTCATGAGTGTGTTATAGGACTCCCCTTTTCTTTGTTTTGGTCAAAGGCTTATGAAACATGTACATCTTTCAGCTTAAAAGAACACAGTCAAGGAACTGGCAAGAGCACACTCTAATGTAAGTACCCACAACCAAACTCACTGACATGGAGTGGACGCCAACTTACAGTGACCCTGTAGGACAGGGTGGACCCACCCCTGGGAGTTTCCGAAACTGTAACCCGATATGGGATAGAAAGTCTCGTCTTTCTCCTGCAGAGTGGCTGGTGCTTTGGAACTGCTGACCTTGTAGTTAGCAGCCCAATGTGTAACCACTATGCCACGAGGGCTCCTTAAATACAATAAAGGCATATAAAAATCCACTTTAAAAAGGTAAAACAAAAAGAAGGGAAAAAGGTAATGGTAAGAAAAAGAGGTAAGGCCATTTCCCTACTTCTAGAATTTGGGTTTGGCCAATAGAATATGGTACAAAGGAAGTGAAGATTTGCTAGATGTAAGGCTTGTCCTTCAAAGACATGGCGTATGTATTCTGTTTAGTTTCTTGTCCATCTTTTGAGAATAAGCCCAGGCTGGCCCGCTGAATGATGACATGCAGGTGACACAATCCACCAAGCTGCCTCAGTAGTTAGGGCCTAGCAGACCACCCACCAGTGGCCTGGAGGAGAGGAAAGGCAGTCTGAGCCCGGCTGACATGCCAGCACCAGCAAGTCTAGCTGAAATCAGCCAAGCCTGACCCAAGTCTACCATCCACCAGCTGATCCACAGATGTAAGCCATGTAGTTCAAAGCCACCACACCTTCGGGGAGATTGATCATGCGGTCATACATAATAGATAAAGTCTGAGTAAGGAAACGGGGAAATGGGGGTGAATCGCTGGCAGCAAGAAAAGGTGAGACCCATCTGCCTAAAGTCCCTGCCAAAGTCCCCAGGGAATATCAAAAATAGACTTTGAGGCCAGGGTGTGGCACCCCATCAGACTTGACCAGAAAACACTCCTGAAGGCCAACAAACAGATCTTGAACTATTTACAGGCTTTTCTTTGTTGTTGTTTGTTTTCTTTTGTTGCTTTGTTTTG